GGGAGCCCGATGCGGGACTCGATCCCAGGACCCTGGGATCATGACCTGAGCCGAAGGCAGACGCTTAACCATCTGAGCCACCCAGGCGCCCCCTTCAGGCATTTTATTAAAAAAATTTTTTAGAGATCTTATTTTAAGTAATCTCTCCAATGTGGGGCTTGAACCCACAACCCCAAGATCAAGAGTCTCATGATGCTCCCCTGACTGAGCCAGCCAGGCACCCCTAGCCTTCAAGCATTTTATTTATAAATATATAATATATATATATTTAAGATTTATTTATTTGAGAGCAAGAGAGAGACAGCGTGCACGAGCAGGAGGGGCAGAGGGAGAGGAAGACAGAATCCAAAGCAGACTCTGTGCTCAGCATGGAGCCTGATGCGGGGCTCGATATCATGACCCTGAGATCACAACCTGAGCTGAAACCAAGAGTGAGACACTTAACCAACTGCACCACCCAGGTGTGCCCCCCCCACCCCCCAAGGCATTTTAAAAGATTTGGTTGGTTGTTACTGGTTTCTAAGAGCTCTTTATATATTAGGGGGATTAAATCTTGCTCTTGTCACATTTAATTTTTTTTAAAGATTTTATTTGTTTATTTGAGAGACAGAGCACGAGCAGGGGGAGGTGCAAAGGGAGAGGGGAAGCAGATTCCCCACTGAGCGGGGTGCCTGATGTGGGACTGGATCCCAGAACCCCGGGATCGTGACCTGAGCCGAAGGCAGACACTTAACTGAGCCACCCGGGCGCCCCTGCCAGTGCATTTTAGATACTTGATTAATATCTGATGAAAAATACCCAGCTCCAGTTGTCGGTAATACGAATGTTTGATTTCCTGAGTAGATATCTGAGCCTGTGAGATATACTACTCCTACTAATAACACTATTTATTACGTGCTATATAAGCTTTTGGTTGCAAATAACTACGGAAGAACCAACTCAAAATATTTGAACCATAAGGACATTTGTTACCTCACATAATAAATTTAACCTATTTTTCCAAAACAGTTATCCTTTTAAGAATTAATGCTTTATCAATAGAGATCTTCTACTCTAAGTATGTGGACTATTGCCTATAAATGAAACCAAACTGAAAAGTCCAAAGATGGAGAGAAAGAGACTGAATTTAAAAATTTAAAGCCATATCTTGAATTCTGCATTTGGGATGGGGATGTCTGAGGTCACACATCCCTAAACTTTTCAGTTAAGTAAGCCAAAGAATTCTGGTTTTGTTTTGTTTAAGCCACTTTGTGGTGTCCCTGTCCTTTGCAATGGAAAGAAATTCCAATGGTGGCTGATTTCTAAAGCCCTTGGACAGGCAGATACCTTCAGTCCCAGAGGTTGACCCGAGGACTTCGTTGTGTCTCTGTCCTTTGGCTGGGCTGGTCAGGAAGTTCTCAAGTCATGCTCAGACTTCTGGGAGGCTAAGGGCTTTTGTTTGTGAGTGCTGAATACTCCAGTTACTCTACTTCTAAGATTGTTCTCAAGAGCTGCAAGATACTGCTGGGGGAACAGTGAAGATGAAGCAGCCTGGGGCCAGTGAATCTTAGCTATCCACCACCCATCTATCCATCATCCATTCCTTCATCCCTCCACCCACCCACCACCATAACCCATCTGCCGTCCATCTGTCTGTCCGTCCGTCCATCCTGTCCGTCCATCCATCCATCCATCCATCCATCCATCCTTCAGCCTTCATTAAGTGCCATATCTGCGTCAGACTGTTACGGGTACTGAGTATACAGAATGAGGAAGACACTATCCTTGACCACTGGGAGCTCTGCGTCCTCTAGAATTCAGGCTAAAACACTTACAGACTGTGGACTACTAGCTTCCCTCAGAACCAGCACTGGACATTTAGTCCTCACAAGAGAAAAGTCGTTGACCACCTGGGTAGCTAATTTCAGGACTAAGGGGCAGGTCTGTTTCACCCAAACCTCCTCTGTGTGGATGGCTGAAAATCTGTTAGTACCTCTAATGGAAGCCTCAAGAGTGGTCATAAAGCAGGGACACCCTACCCCACTTCAAAATGTAAACGTGGTTTTATTTAATGCCTTTTATCTGTCACAAAGTACCGCTGCCTCCCCAGGGTCCCCTCTTCCTAGAAAACAAGATGGCAGCATAAGGCACGTGCACTGTCCACATGACGTCAGGTTAGGTCCTTAAAAACAAAAGTAAGCAATTGTCTTCCCATCAGCCCCGAATCGCCTCCCTCACCAATTGTTCAGAGAATGATTGTCCCCCCAGAGCACAACTTGGAGCAGAGAGTGCTTAAATGAGAACTGCACCACCCCACATGCCAGGTTAGAAAACCAAACCAAACCAACGACTAAGAAAACCAACAACACAGGTACGAGAGCATAATACCGGAGTAATGAGATTAGTCCATAAATTAAAAAGGAAAAAAAAAAAAAACCCAAAAAAGAGACAAACCCAAGCCTGTCCCCTCCTCATCACCAGCCCTCCCCCAAATCAGCAATTCTTCGCTTTTGTTCTGTTGAGTCTTGTGGAAAAGCCTGGACTCCGAGCCAGCCCTTTTCTCCGAAGTTAAATATTCCCAAAAGCCACGGGGCGGTACTCTGCGTCTCAGGACCCGCGCTTGGACTAAAAGGACAGCCGCTGAGATGGTCGCCAGGCACGTCCTCTCGGCCGCAGGGACCCTGCCCGGCGTCCAGCATCTGGCGGGCAGGCGGGGAAGGCGAGAGCCTGGGAGGGGGTGGGATGCGCCCGCGACGGCAGGTGGCGAGGCCGTGGCTTCTGCTATAAATACTCGAGCTCCAGCGCGTGCCTCAGCGCCTCCAGGTCGGCGTGGCAGGATATCCGCCAGAAAGGCATGTTGTGCTGGAACACAGAAGAGCAGCTGCGCGGTTAGGGCCCCGTCCCCCGCAGCCCCCACCACCCCCCGGGTCAGAGCCCGATGCCAAGGCCACCCGAGGCGGCGTGGCCTGTGGGCGTCTCCCGAACCACAGGGGCAGATCCCCGCCCCCCGCAAGGGTCCATTCCCTCGGAGCCCGGGCTGCCCGGCTCATCCCGAGCAGCCTGGCAGACGGTCTGACCCTCCCGCCATCTCTGGGAAGGTCCTAGGTCCTATAGGTGGCGCGCTGACCCGGACTGAAAGCAGGTAGTGAGAAGGCCGTGCCTTCTGAAAAAGTTGTCCTCGGTCCTGCTACCTCGAGGACAAAGTCTCAGCCAGGGGCTCGTGTGCCTCGCACCCCTCCCTAACGTTTGCTCATCGCCAAATGAACAGACGGAGCCGGTCCCAGCCAGGGTCGGGCCGGCCGGCCTCGGCAGACGGGACGACGTCAGTGTTCTTGCCTGTGAAATGGGCAGCCGATTTGCCGCATGCGCTGTTGCGGCTCTTGCGGGCACCCGGCCCGTCCACTCGGGGCTGCTGTTACGATTACGTCTAGGCGCACGAGGGCGCAAGGGCGAGGGACACGGTCGTGCGGGGCGCGTGTGCGCAGGCGTGCGTGTGCATGCGCGCAGGGCCGGGGGTGGGGAGAGGCTGGCTAGCGAGTTCCTCAGTGTCACGATGCAGAGTTTGGATCTCACGGCGTCAGCCTGTGACACCCAGTGTCTTAAACAGTAGTCTCTTAAAGCTGCCGTTCCGGAGCCAGCCCCTGTGCTGGTGCTGTGTGCTTCCTAGCTCACCGAACTGCCCAGACAAAAGCACGAGCACCTTTTTCAAGTGGGCATGAGAGCGAGAAAGAAGAGAACTGATTCAGCCGAAGTTAAACTGCCGGCAAGCCAGAACGAACTGCTCTCACGGTCACGGTCACATGGTCATTAACATTCGGTGAGAGTTCATGTTCTGTGCCACACACATGACCTTGTTTAACCTGGTCACTAATGCTCAGGGAGGCACTCTGTCTTACTTCACAGATGACACTGAGCCACGGAGAGGTCATGTCAGGCTCCAGAGAAGAAAGCTGACTGCACTTTTATCACTGGAAGATTTAGTCATTGGCTAAAGTTGCCTGCCCAGTACCACTCTCTCCTTTCTTGCTTCCAGAACTCAGAATTTGGCAGCACTGTGCCCAGACCTAGGAGATGAACTATGATCGTCTAAGCAAGCTGTGACAACCCCAGCCCTGTTTGCCAGGGATTTGTCCTGTATCCCTTTTTTTTTTTTTAAGATTTTATTTATTTGGAGAGAGAGAGATGAGTGGGGGACAGAGGCAGAGGGAGAGGGAGAAGTAGACTCCTCACTGAGCAGGGAGCCCATTGCGGGGCTTGATCCGAGGACCCTGAGATCATGGCCTGAGCTGAAGGCAGACGCTTAACTGACTGAGCCACCCAGGCGCCCGGGTCTTGTGTTCCTCTTGACTTGGGACCCACTGAAGCCAATGAGGAAGGTGGTAAGGGGCTTCTGGGAAAGGTTTTCCTCCAGGATTAGAGGGAGGCACCTGAGGAGAGAACTCCTTCCTCCTTACTTTCTCTTCCTATTTGGATGCTGTCATGTTAGTATGTGATGCCTGGAGTTGTGGCAGCCATTTTGAGATCACGAGGCAACAAATAAGAAAATAAAACCCAAAGATGGTTAGAAAGGTAGAGCGAAATGACAGAAAGGGATGCTTGGTGAATTTCTGACCCATGGCAACAACCTAGGGCACAACTGTTACTAATCTTATAAGGTGAGCAAGTGTTTAACACCATTACATAGGCTTTCTGCTATCTGCAGCTAAAAGATACTGAGCCTCCACAGGACAGTCATTGGCCTTAAATTATTTACTAAGTGAACAGATGGTGCCTGATGAACATTTGGATGCCTGGAGTTCTGCCCTGTGAGGTTCCATGTCCACCGGCTAGAAATTATACAGGCATCCTTTTGGTTCCTGGAACACATCAGATCATTTCCTGCCTCTGGGAGCTCCGCACTTATCACTCTGCCATCTCTTTGTATATCATTGTTTATCTTTACCTTCCTGGTCTGCGGTAGGCAGAATAATAGCCCCCAAAGATGTCCAACTGATCCCTAGAACCTGTGAATAAAGGGATTTTGTGGGCGTGATTAAGTGAAGGATCTTGAGATGGGGAGATGATTCAGAGGGCAGGGACTGTGTCTGATGGTCCACTGCCGTGCGCTCCGTGGGGCCTCCTGCTCAGCTTGAAACACACACACAGGGTCCCCACTGGAGTCACAGAGAAGAAATCCACGGGCACGAAATGAACAAGGTGGTTTTGTGTTGTGGTGAGCACTATGAAGGAAACAGAACGGGGAGGCAGGGCTGAAAGCAGCTGGGGGAGGGTGTCTATTCTGATAGCTGGGGTCAGGGAAGGCCTCTCTAGGGGGTGACAGTTAAGCAGCCTGCAGAGGGCAAGTAGGAGGTGCAAACCTGTGGGGGGAGGTAGTTGAGGCAGAAGACAAAACAAGTGCAAAGGCCCTGAAGACAGTTCGAGCTTGGAATGTCACGTTCACTGCTGCACAGCATGGCTCCTGGCACACAGCAGGTGCTCAAGAAACACACGGGGAAGGAATGAAGAGGAAGGGAGAGGGGACAAGAAGGAAGGCGGGCTTCTCAAAGTTCTCAGCGAACACCTCTTTTTCTCGCTTGCTCAAAGGAAGCAGCGTACTATCCATCATGGGTAACGGATGCTATTTCTTTAATGCGTTCCAGCTCCCCCCCCCCGCAGCCAAACCTTCCTTTCTCTGCAAAGATGGATTTTGCTTCCTGCCCGGCCAATCCTGGCTCCTTTTAAAGAGTGTAATTCATTTTTCTGGGAGGAAATGAGCAAAGGTGGGAGAGACGGTCTCAGCCATCTCCATCCCAGGCCTGGAGCACAGGTGGATTTATCACTTGCAGAGAGGTGGAGACAAATGACCCACTAAAAGGGAGATATTAACAACACTGTCCAAGCCCCTTGTCCTGTCGCCGTATTTCACGCTGCTCAGGTGTCCGGCACCTTGTGCTAATGACTCCCATCCGTCAGGCCGGGGGAGCGGCTGGTGCACAGCGTTCCTCGCTAATGCGCTGGGGCTGCTCTTCAGTCGCAGAGGTTTTTAGGGGAGCTCAGTGGATGGGGGTGTGCGCCCCCGGTCTTCCTTGGTAGAAGGCCCCAGCTCAGGGGTGAGGACAGAGTGTTTGAAACTCCTAGGTCCACCTCCTTCCTGCTTGGCGAGTAAAACACACCTCCGTTTGCCTGTACCAGCTGTGTGACCTGAGGTACATTACTTAACCTCTCTGAGTCTCAAATACAGCCTCCGTAAAATGAAGCAAATGACACCCCCTCTGCAGGGGGGTTGGAGGATTCAGTGACACGAGGATGCCAGTAATCAAGAGGAGGGGTATGGGGATGCGGTTCGGTCGGGCCCCCTGGGTGCCAGTGACAGCCCTGCCCCAGGCCAGCTGTGATGGAGACTGCCAGCCCCGCCGCCCAAGCAGCCCCCGTTTTTCTTAGCTGGGTATGTGGTGGCTCAGAAGGGCGACACCTGCGAGCTAGAGCCGCGCAGGGTGTGACCACGTGACCCAGGTCTGGCTGCTGGGGTGTGAGCAGCAGTGCCGTCCACCCGTGTCCCCTGGGCCCTTATAGCGATGGGGCAGCCTCCCCCTTTCCCTTGCCAGGGGCCGCCGTGCAGACAGCGGGGGGGGGGGCGGTGGCGAGAGAGCAGCCCCCGGCCGGCAGAGCAACAAGATGGAGGGGGCCTGGGTCCCCGGGGCTGACGCAGCCGGGCCTGAAGCTCACGGTGTCTTACACGAGAGAGGCCGCGCGCTCTGCTATCCTAACGGCTGTCGAGCGTCTCTGGCCACCCCAACCCTTCTGCACAGAACCTGGCCGGCACTGGCCCAGTGAGACCCTCCCGCCCTGCTCCTGCTGGAGATCACTCTCTCCACCCCTCCGCCGGTCTCGGTCACGTGCGTCTCCCATGGGCTCTGAGCCAACGAGTGATTTGGGTGAGCTTTCACCTCCTGTGCAGATCAGCATTCATCTCTTCTTCCTCCGCTGGTTCTCAATTTCTAACGGTCATGTTCTCCCACTGTCCTGGGAGTGATACCAGAGGCTCGGGTGGTGGGGCACGCCCTCGGCAAGGTCCTTCCGCTCAGCCCCAAGCGCGCCTGCGCGGCGGCTGGTCCAGCTTAGGGGGGCGCCACCTGAAGGCCACACAGCCCAAAGGGCAGAGCTAGGATTTAGGGTAAAATGTGTGCCCCTGGCCGCATCGTTCTGTGGGAGCAGGGCTGGCGGTAGGGTAGGCCGGGGAGGTGCCTGGTCCGGTAGGGAAGGCGAGCCCAGACTAGCTGTTCTCAAAGGAGGAAAAGACTGCCCCCCTAGGGGTCACTGTGGAAATTTCTAGAGCTGTGAATTTCGACTTCTAATGATTTGGGGGCAGTGCTGGTGGGGTCCTGCCTCATCTCACGCACCTGGGACCTGACTGGTTTTCGAGCGTCCTGTCAGATAGTCCAGTTAAGTACAAACCTGTACGGAGTAATCTGAGCCTGGACTCTTAACACTGTCCCTGTTACACAGAAATCAAATCTTGTCCATGCTTTTAATAAAACCTGCATTTCCAGGAGTGCGACTACTGTGTACAGCAATGGAAGTCTGTGTCTTGTTTTATTCAGGATCTCTCTAGGAGCTGCTTAGCAGTCTGCAGAAATCAGCCGCAGCCCCTCACCTGGCTCCCGAATGGCCGAGACCGCGCACCTGTGTCCCTGTGTTTGCCGGGTCACAGCCACGGCTCGCGTGGGTACAAGCCCTGGGATTTTGTGCCTGAACATTTAGGTGTGGAAGCGCAGGTTACTGTGAGTGTAAATAACTTGCCCTTTATTTCTCTTCGGTAACACCATTAGATCTTGACCTTTCAGCCACTATGGTAATAGTGTCCAGGACCATTAGTATTTCATTTCAGGAGAGTAAAGGGGTCATTTCCAAACATTTCCTATGCTGCCCTGACAAACTCTAGCGGCAAGAAGGTGGGAACAGGTCAGTGGCCGCTCCACCGAGGTCCCTGTCCCTGTCTGGGCGAGGGCCAGAGGGCCGGTGAGGGGGGCAGGGGCCGCAGGCCTACGCTGCTTCTCCAGTCCAACCGTGCTTGAAGCTGAGCTTCATTTTGATCGCTGTCCCATGTTGAGCGTTAGAACTCAGCTTGGTGGGGGGGGGGGGCCCCTAGAGGCCCTGGCAGTGGCTCGTCTCATCACACAGACCATGCTCCTGAGCTGGCACGGTGCTTCTGGGACACCAGTAATCTGTGGTAATTCCTGTGATCGTGCCATTGCCTTGGCCATTCCTGTGTATCACCTCTATTACAATCATTTACTTAATATTTTTCTCGCTGAATCAATTCATTTTTAAAGTTAAATATGCTTTAGAAAGAAGTGCTCAGCTTCCTCCTAGGCCTCCCCTCCTGGGCACTCTCCACTGCCTGGCCCACCACTGTGGCCATGCTGGCTCCCTGCGGGAAGCTCCAGCCTGCAGACCTTGGAATCTCTTGGTTCCTCTCTGGGACTGCCTTCCCTCTGACATCTACTTGGCTCACTGCCTCTCCTCCTCCTCTCTTTGCTCAGATGTCACCTGGCAGCGAGGCCTGCCTTGACCACTGTGCACGCTGGCAGCCGGCCCCACCCCCACAGTCCCATCTGTCCCCAGTCCCTGCTTTATTTTTCTCCAAAGCTCTGGTCACCACCTCCTGTAACACATGTTCCACTCCTGTGTCTCCTGCCTGCCCCAGGCTGGAGCTGAGTGAGGGCGAGAGCCTGTCCCTTCTGCTCACGGCAGGCCCCCCAGCGCCTGCCACAGTCACGGGCATGCAGTAGATGTGCAGCTGACGGAGCTCACCCACTAGGCGCAGTGTTCGCGCCTAAGACCCGGTCGTCGAGGCCCCGAACAGAGTATGGACAGCGGGGGGAGGGAGCTGCAGGCAGGCCTGGGTCACTGGAAGACCAGAGTGGTACCTGATCAGGGAATTCTTCCCTCTGAAGGGTTGCTGGAGCCTGGGGGAGGGGAAGGGGAGGAACCTTGCAGGGGGCAAGGCCTTCTAGCTCCGCCCCCAGGGCCTTCTCCTGGGACCCTCTTTTTCAGGCTTTGTCTGCTGAGACTCTAAACGTTTCTGCATTTCCCTGGAATCTGTTGCTGGGGAGGGAAGGGGGAAACCAGGTCCTCCCGATTAAGCTCTGTGACATTAACAGTCCACTTCCCAGGCCTCTGGGTGGGGGGGTGGCAGGCTCTCTGGGATGCTGTTGACAGGTCCAGACCCAGGACTTGGGCAGCTGTTCCTTTTCCAAGAGCAGAGCTGCTGCCACCAGAACCCCCTGCCTCTCTCCTCATGGGCCCAAGATCACAAATGCAGGATTTTCTTTCTCATTAGCTTAATGCTGTCTTTATTAACTGGGAAGGGTTCCTGGAACATATGATCAGTAAGTATGGAATAAAGCGTGCACACGTGCACCAGCCCCCCACCAGCCTGCCTGACAGGGTGTCTCTGGGCTCCCGAGCGGTTGTCCTAGAAAAAATCCAGGGCTATGAGGGGCGGCAGCCAAAGGCACCGAGGGGGATTTGCAGAAGGAAATTACTCAGGATGCTTCTGCGATTGCAAAAGGGGAGGGACCGGGGAGGTAAGAGCCTGGGAAGGAGGGGACCCAGCCAGCGCCGGGGTGGGGGGTGGTGGGGGAAATCCTCGTAAAGAGCCCAGGAAACCCACGAGCCTGTCTCAAGAGGAGAAGCAGAGTCTGAGAGGTGGACAGAGTACCTTCTTTGCCCCCTGCTCCTCTTCCACGCCGTCACCGATCACGATGTAGACGGCTTTTCTGCCGAATCGCTGCATTATCCTCTCGAAACAGCTCTCCTTCCCTGCATACGCAAGAACGGGGGAAAGAAAAGACGCCTGCTGAGCACCCAGGATTGCGGGGACTCCTAACCTGAACCAAGTGCTTGCTGGGAGCAGCCCCCTCCTGAGGGCCAAGCACTGATCAGCTTGTCCTCAAGCAGTGTGCGCACTGTCACCATCCCCACATGAGTGGTGACAGCGTGGGGGCACAGAGGGGCTCAATGGCTTGCTCAGAGTGACACAGAAGACAGAGTGCAGAGGCTTGAAGCAGGCTCCGGAGTCGACACGGCTGGCTGGGGCAGGGGCGCCAGACCCACTTCACAGCTGAGGACACCAGGCGGCATGATTTAGGAGGCAGAGGTGCCAGGATTCACACGTCCACAGGTGGCAGCCTGGTGACAGACTGGGCCCTCAGGTTGACTCCCCTGCCCAGTTTTTTTCTTGCTACCCGTTGATGACCACCCCTTCGTATCTGCCTCCTTCCCAGGCGTGCAGACAGCTGTGTAAATCCAGACACACTGGATTCAGATCTTAGCTCATCCCAACGGTGTCAGTGAGTGTAGTAACAAGAAGGAAAACAGCAGTGCTAAAAACAGCAGTCCCTCTCTGACTTTACGGTCTGCTAGGTGCTCTAAGTGCTTCGCCCACATCAGGATTTCTCAGCCTTGGTGTTACTGGCACGTGGGGCAGGATGAGGCTTTGCTGAGGGGGCTGCCCTGTTCGTGGGGGATGTTTGGGGGCGTCCCTGGTCTCCACCCAGGAGATGCCTGGAGCACCTCCTCCAGTTGAAAAAACAATGTCTCCAGATGTTGCCAGATATCTCCTGGGAGGCAAAATGCTTCCCCACTCTGTTGGGGAACACTGACTTAGGTTATTCATTTACTGTCGTCACGGCAATCCTTATGAAATTGCAATTAATAGAATTCCCATTTTAGAGATAAACTGAGGCTGGTGGAGGGCCCCGAAGAGAAGCAGAGGAAGAGTATCAACAGTAGTTACAATAACACAGCTCTTATTTTTGAGCACTTGTGCTCTGCTGGGAACATGCACTGTTCCCTTGTGTCAGACGTTTAGGGGGATTCTGATCATCCATTTTGACAGACTGAGAAGCTGAGGCACAGAGAGGTCACTTGCCTGGGGCACCAGGCTAGCAGGTGCAGAGTCGGGATTCAAACCTAGGCTGCCCAAGTTGCTTGAGCTCTGAGCTACTCTGTTCTGCTGCTCTAGGCAGGACTCAGCCCTGCTGGGAGCAGCGGCGGGTCAGAGCTGTGAATCGTAACTGTCTTCTGAGGCAGAACTACGTTACACTTTGCAAGGCCTTTCACTACAGCAGGTGGGGTCTACCCCCCACCCCACTAACATTGGGTTGACTGTGTGACTGGCTTTGACCACTCCTGGAATGCTAGGGACCTGACACGAGAAGTGTGTGTGAGTGGTGTGGCTTGGCTCCCTTTACTTCTGCCATCTGTCAGAAGAAGAATGTGCCCAATCGCCGCAGTGAGTGATGGTCCCACGGTGAGAGGACATATAGAACAGAGCAGAACCTGGAGGAGATCCCAGCGGAGTCACCGCCAATTCCCCAGACGCGTGAGTGAGAAACACCGTAAGCCACTGAGGTGTGTTATGCAGCCTTATCGGAGTAGAAACCTGACCATTGAAAAAAATGCTTTTTAAGTTAAAACGGGGAGCTGGAGGCCAAATTTCTATGCAGTCTGAACTCTGATAACCCTCAGTGTGTTGACCTTCAGGCTCCCCAAGTGGGAAGGAAGTTGCTCTAACATGTCCCTGATGGCATTTGATTCCTCTTACATAGAAACAGAATCAGTGGGCTGAATGGAAATTCTAGATGTGCCTGGGTTATGGATGCCTTTCTTGCAAAATCTACAGAAAAAAAGTGCTGTTAAATGAAACTTTGCTTTAAAACTTCTATCACAGGACTGAATGGAGTTTTTCACGTGTTCATGTTCATTGTGAGTTTTCCATACTCATTTGGCCACTGACTGGATCCTTCGTTCAGGAGTCAGGTCTTGAGACATGCCCTCCTGGACCAGAGTTTCTCAAACATTCCAGAACTACCTTCACCATTGTGACCAAATCTGGGAACTCCTGTTATGTAATCTTAAAAAAAAAAAAAAAACAACTCTCACTTCTATTTTTACTGAAATGAATTCATTTAAATACAGAATAGAATCACTGTATTAAAAAGCACACCAGGGCGCCTGGGTGGCTCAGTTGGTTGAGCAACTGCCTTCGGCTCGGGTCATGATCCTGGAGTCCCGGGATCAAGTCCCGCATCGGGCTCCTTGCTTGGCGAGGAATCTGCTTCTCCCTCTGACCCTACCCCCCCATGCTCTCTCTCTCTCTCTCTCTCAAATAAAATCTTTAAAAAAAATAAATAAATAAAAGGCACACCAGATCAGGAGCCCAGGATGGCGGAGGAGTAGGAGACCTGGATTTTGTCTGGTCCCAGGAATTCAGCTGGATAGGGATCAAACCATTCTGAACACCTACGAACTCAACAGGAGATCGAAGAAAAGAATAGCAGCAACTCTCTGAACAGAAAAGC